AAAACTAGAATGAATCTTCTGCTTGAACATGGAATCATACGCCGCCATATGTTTTGTCTTTTGTGCAAGTGGTGACGAGTGGAGCAAGGCCCTTAGGGCCACTGCTCGTAGGAAAACGAAAGAGAGCTACGGCAGTAAGTAGTTGCAACTTGTAACCCATAACCGCTGGAAAACAGTCCTGACTTCGGATGCAGACTATATACTGGTGGCCTGCTCCATTCTTCCACGAAATTTGCTGAACGTCTCTTAAGACGTAGGGACCCTTGCAGATGCACTGCTGGGGTCCTTCGGGAAAAAGACTATGCAACGAGGAAAAAGTGGCCCCTTTTTTTTTTTCTGTGCCCTTAGGTTTTCAGAAGGTAGGGGCGGCATTGGCTACCTCAGCCAGCCCTCTCCGAATTTTTTTTTTTACCCTATTTTTTGGGGTGCGCCGCATCACGTGTGCGCGCATGCTTGCGGGTGTGCTATGCGCCGCACGTGCGGAGCTCGCGCACATGAGATGCGCCGCAGGTATGGTTTTAAAGGGGGTTGAAAGGGGTTTTGACTTCCTAGGGGTATATTACTATATTTTGGTTCGATTTTTAAATTAAACCATTTTTGTCTTTATTTTTTTTTCCGAGTTTATAAGGAATTTTGAGTGACCATCGGCCAAAAGTTGGTCGCATTGCAATTCCAGACAACATATTTTTTTTGCAGAATTTTTTTTTTTTTTTTCGGAATTGTGGGCCCCCACCAAAGTTGCCACCAATTTACTAAATAACGCATGGGCGGGGGCGGGGGCGTTATATTCATATACAATGGCCGGACATTATTTTCGGGTGAAGACGGTAGTATAGATGAAAAATAAACCCAGTCACTTAACTGATCCACTATCAGAGCCTTTGGACTGGAAGAGAATTCCATCTGTTCTTTGAAGGGGAAGTTCTCTATCAGAGCGCACCGCTGATCACCGCCTATGAAGCTACAGAGTTGTCCCAGCAGATGATAACTTCTGTGCCATGCACCTCATGACTGTAGCAGAGTGGTTAGGTGTTTGTCTGCCGAGCCGAGAGTTGTGTGTTCGAGTCCTGTATTCAACATACACGTGCTTTCACGCAGTAACCCGCATAGAGATTATACTACGGGCAGTGTGGCTGTGTAGGATGAGTGTGGTTGGGTACACCGTGTCGTGGGATCTCCGTGCTGGGGTGGGTTGAAGTGCTCATCTTGGGGCTCACTTTCACCCCAGCCCACTTAGCCTTATGGTTAGGTGTTTGTCTGCCGAGCCGAGACTTATGTGTTCAAGTCCTGTATTCGACATACACAGCAGAGAGGTTCGACATCCCAAAGAAATCGAGATAAAATCAGTTAAAAAAGAAGAAGGCTGCTGCTCCCCAGAGTGGAAATGGAGATGGGGCAATAAGGTGGAGTTTAAAAAAAAAAAAAAAAAAAAAAAAGAAAAAAAAAAAGAAAGAAAGAAAGAAAAGAAGAAGAAGAAGAAGAAGAAGAGGGCTGACATATGCCGATCAGAGTCGCTGTGACCCAACAGGCCTGATGTTTCGGTCTGGCAGGTGAGGTTTGGTAGTTTTTTTTAGGTCCGGGTCCACTCGACAAAATAGGTTCTGTAGTGCTGGTGGGTTTAACAAATTTTCAAATTTGCCAAGGAGGTTCTTTGACATGAGATGCAAAAGAAAAGCAAAGGTAGAAAACGGTAAGATAATGTTCCTGTTGTGGCAGGGGAAGTTGGACGACGGAAGACGGTCGGAGAACTTTGTAAGAAGTTTCTCGGAAGCTTCTAGCTTCAGCAGTTGCTCAGCATGAGCTGTATGTCGAAAGAGATTCAAACTTGCAAACACTCTGTCGACATACAGTCAACCAATACCTTTGGGTACAAATCTTTTAAGGTGAAAAAAAGAAAAGGCGGCGGCATGGACATCCACGCTCATCGTGCAGGTCTACATCAGACAGCCAGTCCTTGGGCTGAGAGGGGCAGGATGGTTCTGTTTTTCCTGGCATGTGTATTTGGAAGGGGAGCTATTTTCGGGGGGGATGTCTGCATACAGTTGTTTGAGCGTATCCAATAGTCAATCCTTCCAATTGGGAGTGTGATGATTTTTTTGGAGGCTCCTCTGGCCGTAATGAGGGGAAGCTTGAGGTGTATATTCATGTCGATTCTGAGTCTCTTACATGCCGGTGGAAAAGGAGACACACTAGGGGGGGGGGAGGAATCAAACAGACTTTGAAAAAAAAAAAAAAAGGGAATAGCATTTTTCAGCAGGTCTGTGGTAAGTATACCTGCCCGCAAGCAACTTGCGTCAGCCGAATGCCCTCAAGACTAACGACTCGTCTCAGCAGAACCTCTTTGAGGCCAGTCTGCGACAAACACCACCACAGTCCATCCCACAAAACCCCAAAACAAGTCAAAATGATAATGCAGGTTGACTTTTCAATAACCTCAAGAGTCAAAACAAGTCAAAATGCTAATGCAGGCTGACTTTTCAATAACCTTGAAGTTCCATACCGTCTGGACAATGAGAGCACACTCACAATGTGACCTTTTTGGATTCATCTGACAATTCCGACCGCACTTTTATGATACGCCCTGGATGTATTGCACCACAATTGTGTCCACAGATTGGCCGAAAAAGTCCCAGTGTGAGTACACCCTCCTGAAGCAGTTTTCGTGGAACCGAGCAGACAAACCAAAAAGAGCGACAGCCTTTGTTCTCTGAAACCCTGAATGCACCCCAGAGAAGGACACAATACGTTCAGTGACCTACACAGAAAATACATACTGGTTTATGACCCCCCCAACCAACTGTATGATTTTTATTTTTGGGGGAATTGTATGATCTTTTCATGTAAGATCCAAGGGCTTCAAAAAAAAAAAAAAAAAAAAAAAGAAGAAGAAGAAGAAGAAGAAGAAGAAGAAGATCAAAGGCTTCACCCAATATGCTCGAGTAGGGTGAAGCACTCCACAAGCGGCTCCACTTTCGCCCCCACCAACTTATAGCCTATTCGGTTAAGTGCCGCTGCCATTTTTGGAAGGTCAGGAGTTCAATTCCCTTGAGGTCACGTGAATGGTCATGCATGAGATATAGTGTGATACCCGTCGGCCGCCAATCCATTTGGTGGCTACTTCGACAGTGTAAGGTTGGGTACACCGGGTCATAGAGGCAACACCTTGCCATCCTTCCGCTTCCACTTCACTCTTCTGCTCAACCCGTGCACACAAACAAAAAGCATGTGCACGCTTTCCTCATCACCCTTGTGCTCCTTTCCTTCCCTCTTCTCCTTCACGAGCCCTCTTCACCCTCCTCCGGCTTCAATATGCCCATCATCATTTTGGTCATTCCCCAATACCCCATCACTCAGGGTTCTGTCTCTCCTTCCTGCCCCTTCCTCTCCTTCACCTCCTCCGCCCCCTCCTTGGCATATGAGAAAACACCTTGCTGCCCTTACCCTTCCATCTTCCGCTTCATCCTTCTGTTCATCCTGTCCAGGCAAACCCAAATCATGTGCACACTTTCCTCATCACTCTCACAGTCGTTTCCTCCTCTATCCTCCTTCACAAGACCCTCTGCCCCCCTATTTCTCCCATCTCCTCTATTGAGGGAGAAAAGAGCACGATGGTATTTGAAAGGTAAGCAAATATGTTCCAAAACATGCAGAGATAGCAGTAGGACGTCGTACTGTAACACATGTCATAGCTCCACCTTTGTCAAACTCTTCTTCATAAGAGAGAGAGAGAGAGAGAGAGAGAGAGAGAGAGAGAGAGAGAGAGAGAGAGAGAGAGAGAGAGAGAGAGAGAGAGAGAGAGAGAGAGATGCCACGAAGGAATGTGTTGCATCAAGTTGAAGGAAGAGAGTGATGTTGTTGGGCAATTGCTTGAAGATTGTTTTTTAGCACCGCATTCTGCTGTGGAGTGAGATCACGTGAATATCATTTGTTGAGCTTCAAAGACAACTGAGTTGAAATAGAAATCAGTAACAGTAGGCAATACTGTATATGCTTACTGCATCTTGCTGCATCTTGCTTAATGATTATAGTTATTAACTCCCATTGAAAGAATAGCCTCCCATTGTTAAAGTAATTCTGCTTCTCTCAATCGGTCATCATAAACTCGCATGCATTACAAGGCTTGCCTCAATGGCCACATTATCAGAGGAATGACCTGACTAGGAAGCATCGGCTGTTTTATTGGCTGATTAAGGCATAGGCCCAGTGAGAACAGTCCGACCCCTTTAATTTTTGCTTTTGTTGTGATGTGACATTTTAGACACCGACCGGTCAAGCCAGCATGTACTTGGGGAGCACTCACCTGTGTTCAGTTTACTGACCATCATTCTGCTCTTTGTTCTTTCGGCCTTTTCCGGCTTTCTCCCCCTTTCACACTGCAGGACCGTCCTTCGTCTCATCCCACTCTATGACAAGGGCATCCAACTAGGACCATTATTCTCCTACCTCTTTCCTTCTTTCCTTTGTGGAAGTTCATTAAACTTTATTAAAGTGTTGCTACTGCTCATCTCTAATCTTTCTTTACTTCTTCTCTGTACTTCTGTAATGCAAACAGCACCTAACGACAAAGAGGGCCTTATGGCCCTGGCTCCTTTCCATTCTCGGGAGCATCAGTCCGGTTCCTGTTCCACCGGCAAGTCAGAATAGAGTTTACAACAAAAATGCACCCACGCCTCCTTCCGTCTGGCCGAAGGACCCCTGAGCAGCATTGATTGCTCCATCTGGCTGGAGGATTGACTGTCAGCTTGCCGTGTCTCACTCTTTCCTCTCAGATCTGATAGCCAGATCTGTCAGATAGATCTATATCACCTAGAAAGAGCTCGTCCTGTGACCCAACTAGTCCTTATACCCCATATTACCAAACCTACCCATGAGACCCACAACCACATGCTTTTTTTTTAAGTTTTCCCTCGAGGAAATTAGTTAGTGAAACATATTTTCCACAAACCTGTAAAACCCGATGCCCTAGCTGCCCATAATCGCCACGGCCACATGTGTACCTGGCAGTATAACCAACAAGACCAAAAATCAACCATCGTTAGGAGGATTACCTGCACTCTCTTCGACTGCCTGAGATAAAGCATCCGTAATTCGAAGGACTTTTCGCTAATTCCATTGGAATACAAATTTGAAAATTTTGATTTGGAAAATTGTGACTGAATCGATGGGCCGGTGAGATACAATTTCAATATTATGGCATCCAGGTTTCAAGAACATGGTTTTCACATCCAGGTTTGCATTCTTATTGAATATATATTTCGAGTGAACAATCTCCGGGAAGAGATCCTAAAATAATTGCTTTACAATATTTACATTGATCCGACAAAGATATTTGTTTTAATTCTTTACGAGGCAAATAGATTGCTGACGTACTTCCAACTCTGCCTAGCCTGGCTATTCGCAACATACTTGTATGAAACAGATACGCCGAGATTTTCAACCCGCGGCTGTCTGGTGCATAGAAGGCCGAAGGTCCAAATGCTTCGATACAATCGACCACCCGAGAACATTGGTCCAGGTTCCAAGAACATTGTTTTCACATCTAGGTTGCAAGAACATTGCTTTCACATCCAGGTTGTAAGAACATTGTTTTCACATCCACATGCGAACATTGAGTTTTCAACTTGTCAGAGCACATTTTTTGTCATTGCAGTACGTGTGTACACATTCTCGTTTTTGCCCTCTGTCCACTTTGTCATTCAGGTCGCGTCAGTTATGCCTTTTTTGAAGTTTTTTCCTTTTTTTTTTGAAAGGGCGGTGGCCTTGAGATATCATCTTCAAACTGACCGGCCTCTAGTAAATTCAGAATTCTTTTTTTCAGAGTCATTTACTCATCTAAGCTGATTGGGATTCGAACTGAGGTCTGTATTTTAAGAGTCCAAGGGGGTACCAAGTACTACCGAGTAGTACCGACTGATCTGGGGGCAAGTGCAAACACAAGCATGCACGCACACGAGTAGCATACACGCAGTCACTCTGAAAACAGCATAAGTCCGCGACACGCGATGTCTGATTGAAAAAAATTGTGTCATAAACATCCCATCCCACCACCCTGCCTTCTGTACCAAGTACTACAAACTGATCTAGGCCCATTAGTGATCTTGTCAGGGTTTTTTTTTTTTTTTTTTTTTGGGGGGGGGGGGCTTGTTAGATTTTTTTGTACGACTTTGGGAAAAATAAAAATAAAAAACAGACGGGAGTAGAAAGGCAATCATACCTGTGAAAAAAAAGAAAAAGAAACAGTTCGACGGTTCAACCTGGACCAACCGCAAACAGCCAACTGGCTTTGAGGCAGAACTTCCAAACAGATAGATAACAACAACCAGAGCAGGGTGCTCTTGCAGAGAGGCTGTGAATCGAAGAGAGTATTTAGATCAGCAACACGCATAGATGGGCGAAATCCACAGCTTCCCCCCAAGTACTGAGCCTGAGGCAATGAAAACACCACCTGCTATCTTAAGTCCTTAAGGAGGAACTCCTTTTTCTTTCCCCTTTTCAAAAACAAAGACCTTCTGGTCCAGGCTCCTTGAAGTAAAACTTGTGAATAGAAAGCCAGAGGATAACACTGTTATAAGACACCAAGCAGCAAAAAGTACACTCACAAGGCTATGCACCAATCCGTTATACCTACTATATCAATTTCAGCTGCAAAAATACCTGTATGGATGCAAAAGAGGGCTGTCATACATACCCAGTCAATGTGGCTGAATGTACACACATGTACGACGGCGTACTCTACATGTGGTGATGAAGTAGTTTTCGAAAATTGGTAGTCTATAACCTATGG